GAGTTGAGGTATACACAGAAATGTAGCTGTCAGCAGTTCTGAAAAGTATAGGCCTGGTCCTGGATTTTGTGTGAGTGTGATAGTCAAACTGTTGAAAATATAAATCACTGTGGAAGTAGTATGATGCCTCTGTCTCTTTCTCTGTCTCTCTCTCTCAACTCTATAATAACTATACATCTGAGCTAAGAATGGCATGGATAGCTTCTTTCACTTATGGTATTAAAACAAATAGAGCAGAAGCTATGGTCCTACTTACCTGACTTCTCTATCCCCATCCAACCCTGATCCTTTGGACCTAGATTTCAGGCAGCTTGGGAATTTGAGTCTGAATCCTCATTCTTTCAATGCTTTTAGGTTATGTGATTCACCTAGTTCCTTATCTGTACAATGATAGTACTTAACTAGTTGGATTGTTACAAAGATTATGTGTACTACTATTATATGTAAAAGCCCCTCATAAAGTGCATAGCACATATTTGGGGGCCAGTAGGTGTATATTGAACTTAAAATTTCCCCTTCCTTCTAGGTTGCCCTCACCAGGTGTGGAAGAGGCAGGCTGCAGCAGAGAGATGCAGAGTTCCCTCACACAGCTTGGCTTAAATGAGTCTCCTATCAAGTCTTTTGTTTCCATTTCAGAAGCCACAGATTGCTTAGTGGACTTCAAAAAGCAACTTACTGTCCGACCAGCTAGCCGGACACGGACCAAAGCAGGCAGAGGAAGAAGGAGAAAATCTTGAATTTCTAGAGTTCAAAGGTTGACAAACCATTAGTAATCAGGGTGGGCCATGTTCATAAGCCATAGTAACCCCCATTTCATTGTTTAGCAAATTTTGACTCTGCAGTTTTCACCACCAGCACCCACTCACTCAACATCTTGGTTTTTTGTTTTCTATGATCTATACAGACAGCTGTGTAAAGTATTCTGTTTTATAACAGTCTGTTTGAATTTACTTATAGTTAAAAGAAAGTTTAAATATATTTATCTATGTATGAAATCTTATTTCAATAGAGAAGAGTTTCCTTTTTTGGGGGGGTTTGGGTGAGGATATTTTAATTGTGGAGGTAATTGTCATAAATTATGTGTTTCTGAATGGATTTCATTAGTAATCTTTGACATCCCACTTACAATCACTTATAGAACAGTTCTGAATACTGTGTGGTTACTACCATTATTATTTCTGACACCAGAGTTATTCTGCTTTCCCTTTGATTCAGTGACCTGCCGCTTCTTCTTGTCCTCCCCCAGTTAATAATTCTCAGCCAAAAACTGGGCATGGTGGTGCGTGCCTGTAATCCAAAAGGCTTGGGAGCCTGAGGCAGGAGGATTATAAGTTCAAAGCCAGCCTCAGCAACTTAGTGAGGCCCTAAGCAATTTAGCAAGACCCTGTCTCAAAATTTAGAAAAAATAAAATAAAAAAGGGTTGGGGATATGGCTCAATGGTTATGTGCCCCTGAGTTTAATCCCCAGTACCCCCCACCCCAGCCGCCCTACAAAAAAAAATTCTTAGAGCATAGAATATTTGAGAGAAGTGCCCTGCCATTTTCCCTAGGATTTTTTAGGTATGCAGTCTGGTATTATTATTTTTATTTTTTCAAAATAGATTAACCAGTAGGGATGCCAGGCATAGTCATATGTTCAAAATAATAGTGGTTTTTCTTCCTGTCAAAGGTCATAGCAGCAATGTTATTCCACTAACATTACTGGAGTAGTGCATATTCTTCCATCACTTTGCCTGGGAGCTTCCACTGCAGAACAAAATATGGTCTGTCCTCAGTGTGTAAGCAGACTCCAAAATGAGAGGTTGTGAAATGGCAGAGGTAGCTACCTGAGGGAGATGAACAAACAGGTATCTTAAGAAAGCTAGCTTTGGCACCAGCTGCTTTGAAGATGGCTTGAGAGATTGTAGGAGGGAGCTGTTGGCCAGGAAGAGATCTTGGGTCGTGATAAATGGGCACACAATGCAGACTCTTCTAACTGATTTATTATATCCCAAGTTACCATTTCCTTTATTTTAATTAAAATGAGTTAGCCTGGGGAAGGTAGCTAGAATGTAAGAATCAGCACAGATGTTAAGGCACTGTATCCTGCTCTAGGGACATTTGCACACGAGCTCCTTCAGTTAGAAGGCAGGCTGCTCACTGCCATCCATAGATGATGTCTTGTTGGATGGCACTGACATTGCAGCTATATCACATATGTAATAGCTATTTTTTTTGAGCGGTTACCATAGACCAGGTAATGAATGGACCTTCATTACATTTAATCCTCATAGCAACCCTATGAAATAGGTATTATAACCCATTTTCAGATGAGGAAACAAAGGCTCAGAGGAACAAATAAAGCCACTCTTTGTTCATGTCAGTAAAACTGTGGTGCTGCTACTCTTCAGTTCTAAAGAAAATGCTTTATTTTAACTCTAGTATTGATTATTTTCCTTCTAAGGAAAAGTAGTTTATCAGTTAAGTCCCAACTGCTTAACCCTTGCTCATCATCTTTCTCATTAAATGGCACTTTATTGGAGGTAGAGCTCTATAAACAGGGGACCGTGTTTCTCTCTCTGCCTGAAGAAAAGGGAAAGAGCTGTTTCTCAAAGGTAAATTATTTAACTTAAATTTGAGCAGTTGCCATAGAACTTGGTTCAGTGGCACGATGGTATGGATCAGCCAGACCAGGAACCAAAGGCTTATTTATTAGTTAATGGAGAATGAAGGGAAGAATAATCACTGTCCCCCACCCCAAACACACCTCCCCCAGCTATCTTCAATAAGGGCTGCTGCTTTTTTTTTTTTTTTTTTTTTCCTTCCCTGTGCTATGGTCTTACAGGGGGAGGATTAGTGAAAAAGGTACAAGAGACAAAGTGGAAAGTGTGTCAAACCAAACCAAGTCTGTGCTCTGCTTCTGATACAAGTTACCCAGCCTCTCTGTACTTAGTTTTCTTTGCCCACAAAATAAGAAAAATTATGTTTACAGATTTCTTAAGGACTAATATAATGTATATAAAAGTTGTACCACAGTGTCTGTCACATAGAAGATGGGGAGTTAGTGGCAGCAGTTGTTACTAATTTGACATAAGTCTTGTGTGTCATAAGTGGTGTTGCAGTGAGGGGTGGAAGGACCAGAGAGAGATGGAGTGCAGATGCAAGAGGAGATATTTCAGAGGACTGAGCACTCACTCAGAGGATCTACTATAGCCCCATCAACCACCAGCCTGCCACAGAAAGCTTGGTTCCTGTACATTTGGAGCTCTCCTGGGGACCCTGGGTGGTTCTTCTGAAAGACAGGAAGCAGCTGTAATGCTGGTGTTGCCAACTCATGGAAAGGTGGGAAGCTTCATGAGCTTCACAAGCTATTGCCATAAATTGGGAGAAAGACAGAGGTTGCTCTGTGTCAGGCATTGTAGCTGTGTTATTTCATCCTTACAACAGCCCTCCAAAAGATGTTGTGCCTGGCCCACTTCCCTTGGGCATTCACCCTTCTACTGCATTCCCGCAGGGCCCTATTGGAAGTACCTATGATGCCCTGCCTGAGGACTTCTTTTGGCTTATGTTGGTACATGCTGGAAGTTCCAGGGGAGCAGTGCCCTGGGGTAGCTCTCAGCCAGTGAAAATGAAAGTTGAATGATAAATACCCCATCTTCTTTACCCCTCAGGTGGAATAAGGTGTATTCTACTCTTCTTTCTGTTGAATTGAGTGTCAGTAGCTCCCAGCAACGACTTAATTATTTACCCTTCTCTGTTGGCATCTTTCCCTTGCTACCTTGCTTCCAACTCTCCTGTCAGGACCAGGACTAGGTAACAGTTTCATGTAAATGCAGGGTTAGAACTTGAGAGGATCTTGTTACATTTCTGCATCCTAGGCATTTCACTTGCATCACCCTAGTCCTGGCCCTGCTCTGGATCGTCCCAAATAAAGTATTTGCCCTCAAGTTACATCCACTTCTCGGGGGGGGGGGGGGGGACACTCAACCTAAAGCAAATCCTATGGAGAAATTAGTCTCCCGTTTTATACATGGAAAACAAATTCAGAAAAGTAAAGAGTTTTTATCACACAGCTGGTAAATGGGATGGGATTTGAACACAGGTCTGTTTTGACACCAGAACTTACACTGCCTGTACTGTACTATGTCTGACCTCCCACTTGACTCACACAGCCGATGACTCCATGGAAATTTCAGGCTTGGTGGGCTCATTCTCACCTGTGGGGCAGGGCAGCTTTGGTGGAGAAGGGAGGTAGAAAACAGACGGGAGGGTTGGTAGATGGGAAAATGTGGACACCCAAGTGGAAAGTGCCATATGCACCAGCAAGGCAGGAAGTGGCTGTTTATTTCCTTTCAATTTTAAAAGCCCTGGACTGTTGAGGTTATGGGAGGGCCCTCCTGTTTAATAAAAATTAGCTGATAGCTATTCTGTATCAGGTCTAGAACCAGAACTTGAGGCTCCAAAGGTAAATAAGGAAAATTACCTGGGAGCCCATAGTGCAGTGGGTAAAATGAACACATATATAGATGATTTTAATAAACTTGTAAATGCAATGAAATTAGCAAAATCTAGATGATAGGGAATGGGTGGGCAGGCTCCCAGCTGGGGTTAGGACCAAGAGGAGCCTGTCAAGGAAGAACTTCCCACCATTGCTGACTGAACTATAGTTTAACAGATGAGGGGAAATTAGGTGAAAAGGTGGGAGAGTCCAAAGGGGGTGTCATTCTGGACAAATCGGCATGAACAAAGGCACAAAAGAAGTAGCTTGATGCCTGTGGGAGAGTTGCAAGGTACATTCAGAGTATAAAGGGCATCCATGCTGGGGAGCCTATGAGGGCCTGTGTCCCTGGCTGCAGGCACTGAGGGAGTAAGCTCAGAATAGGGAGGGCCTAGCCTCTCAGCCCAGCAGCTGTACTCTATCCCTGTTCCGCAGTTCCTTCTTGGTGGTTAAGATTACACTAAGGGACTATGAGGGCAGCTTGTCTGGATTTGTCCTTCTCCTTGCTGGTCAGTGACCATCTGGTATCTGCCCGAGTATGGCATCTGCCTTGCCTCTGCTACTGCCAGGGCTGTCCCAGCTGCTCACAGCATCCCTCTACTGACTGACCCTGGCACTACAACTAGAGATCAGGACACCCACTGCCTGGCGAAATGGGCACGGCACTTTAAGAAACACTGGCAGGAGTTTTGGTAATGCTTGTCATGTGTGTCCTCACCCTGGCTCAAGAGTGCAAATGTTAGGCCCTGGGTTTAATCTCCCAATACAGCAGGGGGAAAAGGTACAAATGCTGTTGTCAGCATAAATCATAGCTAGAGCTTTTTGCATTCAACTAAACTAAGTTGAGAAATGGGAAACTCAGGCTAGGGAGAATGCTGTGTTGTGGGTGACAGCCACTCTGCCTTCCCCAGTGCATCCTCCACTTCCATTGCCTTTCAGAGCCTGGTTGGTACCCAGTGTACTACAGCAGGGCTGATGTCTGCCATGCTTCCAGACCTAATTGTGTAAAAGCTGATAGAAAAGTCACTGTCCCTGGTGTTCATCTAGTGTCATGTGGAAGCCTTGTCCTATACGGTAGAGAACTGCTGATGAGGTAGTGGTAAAATGTCCACCAATTTTCCTGAAACACAGATTGTTGCAGTGTGCTTAGTCTCCTAAGTGGTGCCCCAGGGTTCTGTGCATTCAGGACTAGTTCAACGGAAAAACAGCTTGGTGGCCAGCAGCCTTAGACTTTGCTTCTCCTTCCAGTAAAAAGACGCATGGTGTGAGCCTACTCTCCCCATTTAAGACAAAGGCTAGATTCCTCAGGCTGGCTGTCACCTCTTCTCCCACCATATGTCCCCTGGAGGCCCTGGGAGCTGCACACAGTTCCATGAAGGCACCTGTGTGTATGTGTGTGTGATTGCAGGTATGCGCTCCTCTTTGTGAAAGGACCCCCTCTGCCAGCACACTGTTCTTTCTTCAAGACTTGGCTTCCACAGCCTGCCCAGCACTCATTCACTGTCAGTCCCTTCCTCTTGTGTTTCTACATTGCCTCTTACCACATTTTTTAAAGCTGTTTATTACACTGCATATTTCCCAGGCTAAGCTCCCACTCCTTTCCAGGGATGAGCTACCACCTCAAAACTCCAAAGTGTTTATAAAATGAGCAGAATTCCTAGCATTGCAGTAGGGATGTCACAGAATCCTTGAGTCCATTCACAGTTCCAGCATCCTGTGGTCATTTTACTTTACTTTGCACCATAGCCCTGGCTACCCTGGGTTCCTTTTAGAGCAAACTGGGAAGGAAGTTGACCTTCCTGAATTAGTGGATGTCTGGTAAGCAGTAGCTGAGGGAAAGGGCGGGGCTTGGAGACAATATAACTTGGGTCACCCTGAGTTTCACTTTTGAACACAGACCAGGTCACTGTGTGCCTCACATTGAGAAAAGAGCTTAGCCCTGAGGAGGATAATCAACTGCTGTATCTCCCAGGTGAGTGCTTCCTGTGATTCTGGCTTGCTGCTCCCCAGCCCTATTATCCTCATCCCTTCTGCTTGGCCCACACCAAGAGGTAAGTAGAAGCTCAAAAGGCTAAGCCACTGGTCTCAATGGTGAGGGCCACTCCCACCCTCAGTTGAGTTACCTTTTAGAAGGAATGGTCTCTCAATGTAGCTGATTCACTTAAGGGAAGCCAAGAAGCCCTTGGTTCAAATTTGCAGACCCTGGGCTGGGTTCTGGGGTACAGTATTGAAGGAGACTTGTCCTTCCCCACAGGAGATAGAGTTTGATACTAGAGTTTTGGGGGGAAATTTCATAGTTTGGCATATGATGAATAAATGTTGAATGAGTGAGTGAATGATTGAGCTAGATGGGCCTTTAATGGAGAATGTCGTGTAGCCTTCAACCCTTTCCAAAGGTAATTGCCACAGTTACCTCATTTTATTGTTAAAACACATTATAACATTTATAGAATGAACATGCTATAATCCCATTTGAGAGATTTGGAAACTGAATGTAGGTATATGTGATTTGGGGGAGATTTGTCAGAAACTGACTTCACCAAATAAAAACCTCTTCCTCTGCTTCCAATTTTATAAAGTTGTGTTAGCACATCCTATGCCCAAACATGTGCTAGCATTGAAGATGCAGACTCAGATATTGCAGGGTTTAACTCTCCAAACTTGGGAAACAATTTGAACAAAGCCTGTCAAGCAAGAGTTAGGGAGCTTGTAGTCCATGTGGCTGGTTTTTGGAGCAGAATAGCAAGAGGAAATTTAGGTTGAGGGTTTGTGAAAGGCTCGCAATGCCACTATAAAGAATTCTGGACTTTCCCTACTGCAGTGGAAGCCATCATAGTGTGAATATTTGCTTTCTTTTCTAAGGGAGATAGAACTTCCCTTAAATGACAAGATAAAATCTATTTTAGCACAGTTGCTGGTGATGTGCTGCAAGTTGGGCAAGAAGATGAGTAGACTAGAAGCAGAAGTATTACTTAAGAGGCTGTTAGAACAATCAGACAGTGGTTGTGGGGGTAGGGAGGAGAGGACACTGGAAGAGCTCTTTTCCCAGAGCCCAAGATCAAGCACACACAGGTGGCAAGGCACGTATACCAGCAACCCAAATGGTTTGTGTAGATGAGCAAACCTCTTGATGCTTCCAGCCAAGGTGGAGGATAGGAGTTCAGTGGTGAAAAGTAGGAAAACAAATTAGTTTTGGTTTTTGAGCTTAAGAAGTCTCTCCAGCACCCAGGAAGTAGGATCTAACAGACCACTGGCATATAGGATTGGGCTCAGGTCAGGGATTTTGGGATCCCTGCACAGGTTTTACTCAACTTTGGGGATGACTGAGATAAAGAGGGATTGTGAAGAAAGGCATGCATGATCAGAGGCTTGGGAACCCCACTGTTTAAATGCAGACCCAGGAGAGACTGGCTGCTGGAGCCAAAGAAGGGGAGAACACAGCAGCAAATGCACTGAGGGAAGGGGTTTGGGTTTGTCAAATTAGGTTTTAGTTAACCACATAGAGGGCAAATTCATAGGAGTATGGGGCTTGAAGGTAAGAAGGAGTTGCAGTAGTGGGAAGGTACTATGTTTCCAGAAGTTTTGCTGTTGCGAGGTAGAGTGCTCAGTGGACAGAATCCTTGTGGCCCTCTTGGATCCTCCACTGCTTCTCCTCTCCTCCACCCTGAAGGGTACCTGAATCACTGGTACATGAACTCCTTTAATCCTCAGAAGAACATAGTTTTTTTCCCATGGTATCAAAGAGGAAATTGAGGCTCATAGGGTTTCAGATTTGGTTAAATAAATCTGGATGTGCATTCCAAGCAAGGATCTTCTGCTCTCATTGTCTCATTTTCCCTACATAGCATTTTGACATTTTGGTTCCATGTTAGTCCCCATTTCACAGAAAAAGAAAATGTGGCCTTGATGTTGGGAGACCTGGTGCCATGTCCTGGTGGAGAGTTAGGTCCTAGGCTCTCAGTCCAGGGTTTTCTCAGTTCTGTAACCCTGCATTTCACAAAGCATTTCCCCAGGTTTTATTCCATTTTGTGTTGATAACAGCCTTGCAAGCGTAAATATTATTGCTTTACAGATGATGCAGCCAAAATTCTAAGTCATAAATGACTTTGTCCAAAGTCATACCATCAGGGGAGCTGCTTTCTAAAGCACAGATTCAGTTTCCGAAGTACAGACCCTTTTCTGTGTCTCCTTGTCACCTTCAAGATGAAATTCACACGTCCTAGACTGGCTTGAAGGCTATCCACAGTCCAGCCTGGCTGCTTCTTTGGCAGATCTTTGGTCTCTCACACCATTTGACCTCTAGCACATCCCTGACCTTCCAATCATAGCAGTATATTCAACCATTAAGTACATATGTCCATCTATACCACAGTCTGTGCCAGCCCTGCTGTGATTGTTGGTAAGGCCGTGAGTTCTCTGAGGATAGGGCCTGCATCTACTTCATCTACACCCCAGCATCCTGCACAGAAGGCCTCCGGATATAAATGAATGACAGAATAAACAAATGACAATTGAACATGAAATCAGCCTCCCAATCTCTCTTGTTAACACATGCTTCTGGAAAATAACTGCCTTCTGGTTAATTGCTAAAGGATCTTTGATAATTAGAGTTTCTGAATTCTGCCCACAATCTCCTCCTTGGTCCCTTTCAGAAGGAAGGGAGTTGAAGGTCTGAGTTACAGCCTCCTAGGGCCTAAAGATTATGTGGTTGACCCTGGCTGTCCCTTTTCTCCTGTAGGTGACCCACTCCCATTGTGGAATCACATGGACTCCATTGGGCCTGCTGGGTTGCAGCCTGGGGAAAGAGCCCTGGGCTGTCCCCAGGAGGGGTTACCCCTGCCCTCAGACAGCTCAGAGCTGGTAAGTTCAGTGCTGGGGGCCTGTTTCATGCTTATTCCAAGGATGTGAAGAGCAGGAAGACTGGAGATCTAAGGGTCCCTGTGCACACACCTGTGTGACCTCTTTCCAGTTTACCAAGCTATTTTCTCCAACCCAGTACCTCTTTCTTTTGAGGCTCCAAATAACTGCAAGATTAGCTCACAGGCTTAGAGAGCTGAAATGACTCAAGTTTAAGGCCTGACAGGAGCTTGAGCTGAGGTGTGTCAGCTCCAGAAGTATTGCTTTTGCCACCTTTCCACATGGGTACCGTCCCTACCCCAAGTGAGTCCATACATCCAAAATGGGCCCTCCCAGGAGTTTCTTGTAAATTGCTGTATTCTTGAGCCCTTTCCACTCCTCCAGTCACACCTGCATCTCTCTCTCTCCTCGCACCCAGGGTTGATTGTAGTGCTGAACTGAACGTGGAAGTTATTATGTGGCATAGTCCGTATGGCCAAGGTTTGTTCAGAAGTGAATTTCTCTTTTTTTTCCCCCACCATCTGACCAAGACTCATAAGCTCTTGCCTACCACACCCTTGAGCCGGAAACACTTATGTAAATCGTTTCATATATCTTGGTTTGTTTCTTCATCAGTAAAATGAAGGAGAATAAAGCTAAATGTTCTCCACTTCCTGAATGGTTAAATGAGCTCATGGAGATAAAGGACCTGCGCAGTGGAGGCACCCATGTTTCTGAAGTTTTCTGACTCCTTCTAAGATCTATTCACTAGGCTTCTTGTCCAACTGTGAAGACATCACCCCTCACTGCATTTCATGTTCCCCCTCCTCTCTTGTCCAACTTTTACCCTAGACTCTGCTGTAAACATTTCCTCTGCGTCCAACCCATAGCTGGGTCCCAGGAATGAGCAATGACTGCTCTCTAGGGCTTGTTTTAGGGCCTGCCATCGGACTCCCTTTTCACCCCTCCCTCCTATGCATATCCCACATCTGCCCTCTGCCTCTGCACCTGTAATTCCCTTTGGCTTTGGGGAACTTCACAGGGACACCCAGTGTCCTGTGGCCTTGGACTCCTACTCAGCACCCAGGTCTCACCCTGGACTCCCTGCCCACAGCCTTGGGTTGAGAAAAAGTTAATTACTTGTCTCATAGACCCTTCCCAGACCCTTCCCCAAAGTCTTTTTTTTTTTTTTTTTTTGTAACTAGAGAAGATCTAGATATAAGACCCTCTAGGCTAGCTGTATCTCATGCTCTGAAGAAAGGGAACCCACATTCCCCAGGCATTTCTTTTGTGTCGGACACTGCTCCATTGCTGCCCGTCTGTAATCTCGTCCTCACAGCATTCTTTGAGAAGCAGGCACTATTCTTGTTCTTGCCTGATAGAGGAGATAACTTGCTCAGAGAAGTGAGGTGATGGCTCCACACTAACACGCGAGTTAATTAAAGGAGCCAGCATGGAAGCCATACGGACTTTGCAGGCTATCTAATGCTTTGCTCCTTGCTTCCTAACCAAGGATAGGATAGGAGGGGAGGCTCCAGAAGTTTCTCTAGGCTGGTGTGCACCCCACCAGAGTGCCAGAGAAGTTCTTTCTTGTGGCTTTGGTCATTTCCTAGTCTCTCCACTTGAACCTTATTGTACCCAGGAGGAAAAGGCAGAAAAATAAATCTGCCCAAGCCATTGACTTCTCCATAACTCCACAGTTGTCTCCTCTCCCATTTGAATGGCACTTTACACTTTCACAAACATTGTTCCCATTTATCTCATGTCACAACCATTCAATCAACAAATCCCAAGAGCCTTTTTGGCATGGCCCTGAGAGCCATGAACAGACATAGTCCTCCACACCAGGGGACTTAGTAATATTGTATTTTCTGTTTCTCCTAAGAGTTGACTTACGCTCACAAAGAGTGTGCCTTTCCCAGGATTACATGGCTGAAAAGGGGCAGGGCAAGGACTCTGATTAAGTTTTCTTTTGTTTGGGTTTTCTTCCTGCCTTAAATTCTTTTCAGGGGTGGTTGCTAGTCTTTACAAGTCTTCACATTGATATAGAAACATCTCTATAGTCCATGTGACCTGGGTTCACAATCCACCCTGCTCCTTCATATCCTTCTCTGACTAGGCAGATGACTTGCCCTCTCTGAGCCTCAGTTTCCTCATTTGTAACATAGGAGTAAACTTTCCAAGCATGTGTGGTTGCTGGCAGCTGCCACATACCAATGTCATGGAGCCCTCCAGTTAGTATATTTTCTTCCTCATGAACTCTGTTTCCCAGTCTCAAGAAATTAATCCAGAGAGGTTTTTGCACACAGAGCTGGGGCTCCTGGGGCTCTTCTTTTTGGAGGAGTGGGAACCTGGGGTGTCACATCCTCTGCCTTCCCCTGCCTGCTCAGCCCTCCTTTCAGGCTCCAGTCCACTCCTGGTCTTCCCCCAAATCCATCACATACTCTAGAGAAAGCCCATTTGTGCTCATCCTTCAGATCTTCATATGGCTTGTTCTAACCTTCATTTAGGTTTCCTCCTCAAGGAGGCCTTCCTGGATTCCTATCTAAAGAGATCTTTTCCTCCCCAGTCATTCTCGATCTTCCAATCCTGCTCCCCTCCCCCTTAATAGACACTAAACTATTAAACTACCACAATCATATTATTATTTACTTATTTTCTGTCTCTCACTCTGGAATCAGAGCTCTACAAGAGCAGGACTTGGTTAGTTATGTGGTGTATGGTGCTTACAGTAGTGCTGGCCTTGGTTGATATGTTAGGAAGGATGAAGGGAAGACCATCTCCCGTGGTCTCCAAACTCTCCTGTGCTGAGCTTGTTCTGGTTCTAGAGTATGAGAATGGGTTAGGAAAGGCAAACACTTGACATTTGTTCACACGTTTGTTCATCTCAACAACTCACTGAGAGGCTTTTGCTCTGGATACTGGGGGGCCAGAGGGCAATCAGTCATAGTGACAAGAGGGAGGTCTTTCCAAACCCTGCATCCAAATGAGTAGACGGGCAGGGAAGAGGATGTTGGAGCTGAGAGGAAACCACCAGGACATGGATCAGGAGGAGGTGGGTGGTTTCTCTCTCCTAAGCAGAATTTTCTGAGGACACAGGACCTGGGTGTAGACCATAAGAGTCAGTGTATGTAGAGGCAAGGAGTAGGATGGGCAGGTGCTAGACTAGCAATGTTCAGAGGGGTTTGGGGACTGGGTCCAAGCCAGCCCCTTGGAAAGCTGAAGGACTGAAAGACAGGTGCGAGATGAGCAGGGCAGGCCTCTGCTCCTGTTGGAGAATCTGGCTAGTGCAACAGGGTTTCTTTCCAGATGTTGGCTTGTTTCTTCCCAGGTACAGGAATGTCTACAGCAATTCAAGGTGACAAGGACACAGCTGCAGCAGATCCAAGCCAGCCTCCTGGATTCCATGGAGCAGGCATTGAAGGGACAGGCCAGCCCTGCTCCTGCTGTCCGGATGCTGCCCACATATGTGGGGTCTACCCCACATGGCACTGGTGGGTGGCATTAGACTAACATGAGTGACCAGACTTGGAAGAGATTACTGATCTTATCCCTGTGTTCCATCTCTAAGGTCCCTTTATCCAGATTTTGCAGGACTTGGGAATTTTTCTGGGAGGCAGAGGGCACCGATCTTGCTGGCTACATGGCTTTCTATGACCTGCTTGCCCCCTAGAACAAGGAGACTTTCTGGTGCTGGAGCTAGGGGCCACAGGGGCCTCACTGCGAGTCTTATGGGTGACTCTGACAGGCATCGAGGGGCATAGGGTGGAGCCCAGGAGCCAGGAGTTCATGATTCCTGAAGAGGTGGTACTGGGCACTGGCCAGCAAGTGAGTATCAATGCCAGCCTTTAGGACCTGGGCCCGGTTGGGGGGCTGGGGCTCAGGTGGGCAGAGCTAAGTGCCCTGACTCCTTGTCTCACAGCTCTTTGACTTTGCCGCCTGCTGCTTGTCTGAGTTCCTGGATGCATACCCTGTAGGAAATCAGGGCCTGCAGCTTGGGTTCAGCTTCTCCTTCCCTTGCCACCAAACAGGCCTGGACAAGGTGAGGTGGAGCAGGCCTGGGAACAGTGTGTGGAGAGGGGCTGCAGCACCATGAAAGCCACTAGAGGATTGACTCCACTTCTCTGCCCCCCAGAGCACCCTCATTTCCTGGACCAAAGGTTTTAGGTGCAGTGGTGTGGAAGGCCAGGATGTGGTCCAGTTGCTGAGAGATGCCATTCAGAGGCAGGGGGTGAGTGGAAGTAGAGGTGATGGAATGGCGGCCCTGGCTGGCCTGGGCTTGCATCTGTGGGCTGTGCCTGTGCTTCAGAAAGGTCCTGCCTTTCTTTCCTGCTCACTGCTTTTATCCGGTTTAACCCTGGTTGCCACCATTCCCATTGTATAGGCAAGGTAACTTGGGCTAAAGAAATGTTCAGGGCCCTGGTGGTGGTATTGGACAAAAAATGAAAACTGTGATTATGTCCTCAAGGTTCTTACAGTCTACCTGTGTCACATTCTAATAAAAGATTGTCTCTGTGTTCTGACTGTGGAGGGAGCAGGCACTTGAAGGAAAAATTTGCCTGGTGTTTATGGTGAGGCTGGGGAGGAGGATCTAGTTCAGAGGTGGGCACAGGCCAAAGTGTTAGAGCAAGCAGTAACTAGGGCCTGGGGAGCCAGGCCAGGATGCAGGTGAGGAGAGCAACCCAAGAAGGGCTCAGTCTTGAGACCGTCATCTTGAGGAGCTCTGGATGTGATGACTGAAGGTGGGAACCCATGACCTTGAGGCCTGATTTGGGGAAGGGAGGAGCTGAAGATGGGATGGGAGGAAAACCTTTTATAGGGGCCCTGGGTGTTGTGTTTGGGAATGCAAACACTTGCGTTTCGTGGACTTTGGATGTCTCCATCAAAGCCCTGCCCCTGGGATCCCACTCTGGCTATCAGGCCAGTCCCAACTCTGCCCTGTCCACTGCCCAGGCCTACAGCATTGATGTGGTTGCTGTGGTGAACGACACAGTGGGCACCATGATGGGCTGTGAGCCAGGCACCCGGCCATGTGAGATTGGGCTCATCGTAGGTGAGCCGCAGACCTTTTTAGATGAGGGGTGGTGGGTGTGGCTGCCTGGCGGGCAGGACCTGATGGTGCTATCCCTGCCAGACACTGGCACCAATGCATGTTACATGGAGGAGGCGAGGCACGTGGCCGTATTGGATGAGGACCGGGGCCGCACCTGCGTCAGCATTGAATGGGGATCCTTCAATGATCATGGGGCCCTGGGGCCAGTGATGACCACCTTCGACCATGCCTTGGATCAGGAGTCCCTGAATCCTGGTGCCCAGAGGTGACCTAGCAGGGGGTCCTGACCCTGGTCTAGGCCTTATTGCTGCTCTGACCCACCTCTTCTGCTATCCCTGCACTCAGGCCCTTACCACTCCTCCCTCTTACTCTGAAGGTTCCCAGTTGCACCCTGGGGGATCCTGGCAAGGTTCAAAGAAGAAAGGTCTCAAGGTTCTAGAACCCAGAGTTTTCAACCCTGGACACTCCTTTATTCCTGACTCTCATCAGCCCTGATAGATGGCTGATGTTGGGGGTTCAGAATAGCTGAGTCAGGTGTGCCTTGCCTTCTTTAGATCCTGCTGTGCCTCCAGGAGGCCCGTGAACTTACCCTAAGTCAGAGGGGGCAACATGCTCTGTCCTCTGGGAGGCTCCAGTTGGGAGCCTCCAGTTGGGGGTTTTGGTATAGAAAGTGACTCCTCTTTGGGGGCTTTTGGAGGTGGAGCCAGGTAGGCTGAGGGCTTCAGCAGGGCTGTCCAGCTACCTTTTCCACTTGCAGGTTTGAAAAGATGATTGGGGGCTTATACCTGGGTGAGCTGGTGCGACTGGTGCTGGCCCACTTGGCCCGTCGTGGCGTCCTCTTTGGTGGCTGTACCTCTCCTGCTTTGCTGAGCCAAGGCAGCATCCGTCTGAAGCATGTGGCTGAGATGGAGGAGTAAGTGGGGGAGGCTGGCAGCTCAGGCAAGGGGATTCTCAGGTTGGGAAACAGGAGGTGGCCATGGGGATTTTGTGGGATGGGGAGCTACTGGGCTGTCTGAGCCCCAAACAATTATCCTGTCTACCTGCCCCCAGCCCCTCCACTGGGGCAGCCCGTGTCCACACAATCCTGCAGGACCTGGGCCTGAGCCTGGAGGCTTCAGATGCTGAGCTTGTGCAGCGCGTGTGCGCGGCTGTGTGCACGAGGGCTGCCCAGCTTTGTGCGGCGGCCCTGGCTGCAGTCCTGTCCCGCCTGCAGCACAGCCGGGAGCAGCAGACCCTCCAGGTTGCTGTGGCCACAGGAGGTCAAGTGTTTGAGCAGCACCTCAGGTACTGTGAGAATATGGACACATAGCCTGAACATGTGTGTGTTTATGATAGACACCCAGAGGGCACCTGGGATCACATGTGTAAGCCAGTGGATATGAATGGCACCTAAGCAGATTGAAGGCCAGACTGGGCTGTGGGAGGCCAGGAGACAGCCAACAAGAGAAGAAATGTTTCTTTTTGCTTGTGCCATGGAGGGGGGTCACTGGGGACACTTAGATGTATTGTTGGTGCACAGAACTGATTTAGGATTGAGTTGATTTAAAATTATAGGACCCAGGGCTTCAGCAAAGGGCTCAGATATCAAGCTGGGTGCACCTGGTGTATGTCTGTGTAGGTTCCACAGCATTTTGCAGGAGACAGTGATGCTCTTGGTCCCGGAATGTGATGTCTCCTTTATCCCCTCTGTGGATGGAGGTGGCCGGGGCGTGGCAATGGTGACAGCTGTGGCTGCCCGCTTGGCCGCCCACCGGCGCCTTCTGGAGGAGACCCTGGCACCTTTCCGGTTGAACCTGGAGCAGCTGAAAGCCGTGCAAGCACAGATGCGGGAGGCCATGGCCAAGGGGCTCCGAGGGGAGGCTTCCTCTCTCCGTATGCTACCCACTTACGTGCGAGCCACACCCGATGGCAGTGGTGAGGACCTGGCCTGAGTGTGGGTCTGGGAGTCACAGAGTCTGCTGGGGCTGGAGCCGCCAGCACTGTGTTGGTACTGAGTGTCTCTGTCCCACAGAGCGAGGAGACTTTCTGGCTTTGGACCTGGGGGGCACCAACTTCCGGGTCCTCCTGGTGCGTTTGACAGAGGGAGGTGTGCAGATCATCAACCAGGTTTACTCCATCCCTGAGTGTGTGGCCCAGGGCTCTGGGCAGCAGGTACTCACAGAAGGCCCCGTCAGAGGGTTGGGGGGGGGGGCACGGGTGGAGCCCACGTCTTGACCTGCCACACCCTGCAGCTCTTTGACCACATCGTGGACTGCATCGTGGACTTCCAGCAGAGGCAGGGCATGAGTGGACAGAGCCTCCCCCTGGGTTTCACTTTCTCCTTCCCATGCAAGCAGGTTGGCCTGGACCAGGTAAGGGAGTAAGGGCCAGGAAAAGTGATCCCCAAGGGGTTCCTACCCGTACATCCATCACAGAGTGTACATGAGCCAGGGAAAGGGCCGTGTGTAGGGTGGGGGTTGGTGCTGGAGGGGGGTGGCAGAGTAACAGGCACAAGTCTAGACCCAGCATCCCCACTCAGTGCTGGCAGCTGGAAGTTTGCTGGGGCCCCTTTGGCTGTGGCTCTCAACATCTCCCCCTCTCTGTTTAAACAACAAGCATGTGGCTTAGGGACCGTGCACCAGTCGCACCAGCTCACCCCCCCACTGAGCCACATCCCCAGCCCTATTTTGTATTTTATTTAGAGACAAGGTCTCACTGAGTTGCTTAGCATCTCGCTTTTGCTGAGGCTGGCTTTGAATTCGCGACCCTCTTGCCTCAGCCTCCCAAGCCACTGGGATTATAGGCATGTGTCACCATGCCCAGTACAGTTTGATTAATTTCTATAACTGAACTTTACTTTGTGTGGAGCCCACATTCTTTTGAGAGGTTAAAACTTAGTGTTAGTCAATGTGGGGATCCCCTTCCCAAGGTAGGGTCTTCTCTTAGCTCCATAGCAAACTTTGCTGTGCAAAATTTACAGACATGGGGAAACTCAGAGAAGCCCAGGTCCCAGCTCTCTGGGAATCTCCTTCTGCCAATTTCTGTCTTAAATCTTTTTTTTTTTTTTTTTTGTACCAGGTATTTGAATCCAAAGGCACTTAACCACTGAGTCACATCCCCAGCCCTTTTAATTTTTTATTTAGAGACAGGGTCTTGCCAAGTTGCTTAGAGCCTTACTAAGTTTGCTGCTAAGGCTAGCTTTGAACTCGCAGTCCTCCTGCCTCAGCCTCCCAAGCCACTGGGATTACAGGCCTGTGCCACCATGCCCAGACTTCTCTTGAATCTTAATACTTCCCTAGGATTTACTTGGGGAATGAAGATTGAAGCCTCTTCTGTTCTCAGGTCACTCAAATCCCTTCTGTCTCTCCCCCACCCCCTACCACACAAGTTTAGTTCAGGAAACCATTAAAAATCTGGGTCGGAGTTCCCCTCTGCCTCCACTTCCCCAGACAGGGGGTCCATCTTGTCTGGGGCAGGGAAACTATTATTTCCCATCATTTGATTTCTCTCAAACTACTTCTCCCTCTAGTCTCTCACATTCTCTGGTTTGTGTTTTTGAGACAATGAGCACACGGTGTCTCACTGCTGTACAGTGGGGAAAGGGACGTAAGGCAATATGACTGGGGGGAAATGTTGTTCACTATTTCTGAAATCCACTGCACTAGCAGGGAGTGGTGGCATGTGCCTGCAGATTCAGCTACTCCAGAGTCTGAGATGGGAGGCTCCCTTGAGTCAGGAGTTCCCGGCCAGCCTAGGGATCAACATAGTGAGACCCCATCTCATAAAAACAAAACAAAATAATAGAATCTGCTCCAAAAATTTCCAGCCCTGCCTCCTTCTTTGGGCAGAGTAGTCATTTTCCCCTGATGGCACTGGCCTTACTCACTCCTCCTGCCCCTCCCTCAGAGGGGGCTAACAAGAACAAACCTCTTCAGGTACAGTCAAGTTCCCTGTCACTAATCTAAGTCCAGTTCCTCACAATAAAAGTGTGTCTGTCTTGCCCCCTCTCATCCTGTCTGAGTGTCTCGCTTTTCCATTTGTCCTTTACCCATAACTGGGACAAACGAGTGAATCTGACATTGATACAGTTCCATCCCTAACTCTGAGTATTTCTTCCTCTCGAGTGACTTTTGATTTCTCTCAGAGAAGGTGGGATCTGCTGGCATTTGAGCTTCTGAGCTTTCTCTGTCCTCTTTCTCACCTACAGCACTCACTTTACCAGTTCTGTTTAGTCCTGACTCAATTACAAAGGGCCATTCCTTCTGGCAAATGTCTTAAAATGGCCAGACCCTTAGACTGTCTGTGTGTTCTAGAACTAATAATGGAAGATGTAGGTCAAATCACTATTAATAGGTTTCTTCACTCCTGGGAAGTTGGGAGGGAGCAGAAGTCAAGGCTTTTGACCATAGGGCAAAGTGGTCAAGGAAACTGTAGCAGAAATTGTAGCTTTTGTTGGGATGCTGGCTTTGGGGAGGCAGAGTGAGATTTGAAGGGACCTCCAGTTTCCCGTCTCCTCTTGGTCCCACCTCAGGGCATCCTTCTGAACTGGACTAAGGGTTTCAATGCATCAGACTGTGAGGGCCATGATGTTGTGCATCTGCTGCGGGAAGCCATCAAACGCAGACAGGTAAGAGCCTGCCCCGAGGGGTGCTTTGCGCTGCAGGAGGCCTTGAAGGGAGCAAGGGTCTCTTGCTTTCTGAGAGGGGGGTCCTCTGCAATAGAGACCTCTGGGTCCAGTGCTGGTTGCCGTGACGACCGCGTTGCCCAGCAACTAGCAGCATCCTTTTGTGTGCAGGCAGTGGAGCTGAATGTTGTTGCCATTGTCAATGACACGGTGGGGACCATGATGTCCTGTGGCTATGAGGATCCCCGTTGCGAGATAGGCCTCATTGTCGGTGAGGAGGGTCCTGCCCTTTTGTGCCCCTACTGCTTGATAATTTGCTGCCTCCTGTTGATTCCTTGGGTTGGATGTTCCCTTGGCCCTGGGGATGAAGAATTGTTCCTGTCTGACCCAGTAGGGTCCTGGGATACTGTATAGGGCTGGGAGTCTGGAGTTGGAGTATTTCACCCACCTCAGTTACTGACACAGTCATTAAATATTTCTAAGCCTCAGTTTGCCCATCTGATAAATGAATCTCTGCTTTGGAGTCACATAGATTTGGGTGAAAATACTAGCTTTGTCACTTCTACCTTATGACCTTGGGCAAGTCACTAGACCCTCAGTTTCCTTATTGTATAAAGCAGATAATAGTGCCTCTAATAATAGTGAAGATGAAATACGGGGTGAGGGGGAAGTGTGCCCAATGCCTGACTTGTACTGCATACTCAATTCTGGAACTAGCAAGGAGCATGGGGGAAGGACCCAGGAGCTATATGGGTCCTTCAGACTGTCTAAGATTCAATGTCTTTATTAAGCACCTACACTGAGGCCAGCTGGAATCGAAGCACATATAAACGAAGGAAATTCTGCGTTTTCAGAATTGACCAGCCTATGGGGTTGAGCATAGAACAGCCCATGGGTGAGAGAGAACTGATTCTAACTCTACACATGGGTGGGTACAAGGCCAAGATCAGAAAGAAGTGGGCCCTGAGACAGGTGGGACTTACAAGTCTTGAAGGAAAGGAGGGCTCCCCAAGCTCCTTAAGAGTCTCTTAGAGTGCAAGACACACAGCAGCTTCCCGTGGACTGGAGCTTCTTGAACACAGGGCCTGGCACCGGCAGGCGCTCAAGAGAGGTGTATCCATGTGGCTATGGGAATAATGTACTGAATAGAGGAATTCCAGGTGGCAAGAAGCCCATTTTCCCAGGGCTGAAATATGGAGGGAGAGAGGGGAAATGCCTTTGACCAGGCTGTGCCTCCTGCCTGGAATGCCTTTCCCTCTCCATGCCTCTTGGCTTCAAAGCCCAATTTAGACATCGATTTCTCTCTGTAGCTTTTCTTTACCTTGTAGGCAGCAAGACCTACCCTGAGTTCCAGGACTCCTATGATGCCGTCCTTTTGTACTTCTATTAGGGCCTGTATATGTCTATCAGAGATGGCCATTCATTATCCAACTTATGGCCAGATGGTGGGGTTCCTTGTGTTGGATTTCCCTGTATGTTCCTGGCCTGGCCCAGTACCAGTTAGTTGACTGAAGGTTTAGAAAGCCAAGACTAGGGAGCTCTCTAGCCTCTTACCAGCTGATGGCAGTGGGCCATCACATCTCCCAGGGGAATAATGTGACTGATGGACCTTGCAGGGGCCCTTTTGGGCAGCATGGCAGATGCCCTGATCATGGTACTGGTAGGGGAGGTAGTGGAGGCCCCAAGGGCTTGGTGCAGACAGGATCTGCACTGTGGATGTCAGGAAGGAAGGAAGAGGACTAGGACAGGTTTTAAATGTGGGAAGACGGAGAAGTAGGGAGGGAGCACGAATTTTGTCATTTTGGTGTGGGAAGGGCTCAGAGGGGTTTTGTCTGCATCAAAAAGTGTTTTCCACCCCATCTGGCTTCTCTGCAGGAACTGGAACCAATGCCTGCTACATGGAAGAGCTCCCGAATGTGGTGGACATGGCCGGCGAGTCAGGCCAAATGTGCATCAACATGGAGTGGGGAGCCTTTGGGGATGATGGCTCACTGGGCATGCTCAGCACCTGCTTTGATGAGAGTGTGGACCAGGCGTCCATCAATCCTGGCAAGCAGAGGTGCGGGCTGGGCTGGGCAGTGATGGCTGGCAGTGGCAGGCTCTGGGGATAGGAGCTGCCAGGCCCTCCTGCCCCAGGCAGACACACACATATTCATGCAGATTTGAGAAGATGATCAGTGGTATGTACCTGGGGGAGATTGTCCGCCACATCCTCTTGCATTTGACCAGCCTTGGAGTTCTCTTCCGAGGCCAGCAGACCCAGTGCCTTCAGACCAGGGACATCTTCAAGACCAAGTTTCTCTCTGAGATTGAAAGGTACCCAAGGCCAGCATTGGCTTCCTACTCCCCAAAGGAGTCTATCCGTCCACTGTGGGGGAATGCTGCCTGCTGGTGATGGTTGGGTCCTCTCTGGAGGATGAGGTGGGAAAAATCTTGAGAGAGGGGGAGCTAATGCAGGATCCCAACTCTGTGCTTTATTCCTTCCTGTCCCCCAGCGACAGCCTGGCTCTGCGACAGGTCCGAGCCATCCTGGAGGATCTGGGGCTGCCCCTGACCTCAGACGATGCCCTTATGGTCCTAGAGGTGTGCCAGGCTGTGTCCCAGAGAGCTGCTCAACTCTGTGGGGCAGGTGTAGCTGCCGTGGTGGAGAAGATCCGGGAGAACCGTGGCCTGGAGGAATTGACAATCTCCGTGGGGGTGGATGGGACCCTCTACAAGCTGCATCCCCAGTGAGTCTGGGTGCATGAGCCAGGCAGGGAGGCATGGCTGCGGGGCTTGGCTGTCCTCGGGCTCATCTCAGCTACTCCTCTTCACAGCTTCTCCAGCCTGGTGGCAGCCACAGTACGGGAACTGGCCCCTTGCTGTAAAGTCACCTTCCTGCAGTCAGAGGATGGATCTGGCAAAGGTGCAGCTTTGGTCACTGCTGTTGCCTGTCGCCTTGCTCAGAAGACCCGTGTCTGAAGAAATCCACAGGAACCTGGGATCTCAGCCCTAGTCTTGCCAGACCAGGGCCTGGGCCCAGCCCGTCTCCAAGCCAGACCAGCCACCAGGGACTCTCAGAATAGTCCATGTATGATACCTCTATGGCCATCTACCCTCCCCGATAGCTTTTCCCAAGAGAGGTAGCACATGGGTTAGCAATATATATATATAATTTATTTACATTCACGTCCGCTAAAATCCCTATGCGCCCCGGCGGCCGGGCAAGGCTGTGTACATAAGGCCAAGTATAAGTGCATGAATGCACTTAAGACAGAGTCAGGACACAAGCTTCACACGACAGGCCCCACATGGGGGCACTGGCCAGCCCTAGGAACGGGCACGCCACAGCACACACACTCGCCGTTGTACAGCCCGGGACTCCCATTGCATATTCACACGCCCCGCCGGGCAGGGCACCTCGAGGCTGGGATCAGGGGAAGGGTCGGGAAGGAGCCATCGGGTGTCCCTGGGTGGGTGGGAGAAGGGCAGCATGTGAGGCAGATGTGTACCGACACCAGGCGTGAGACGTGAGTGACCTCTGGGTGTACAGCATGAGATGCGTGTGGTGGTGGTGGGGGTCTGCGTGACCCGGGAAGGGGTGCATGTGAGATGGGCACACAAGGCATGCATGGGCACATGCCCGTGTGGTGGTTGTGTGCCTGAATCCAGGGGCCGGCCCGTCTGGCTGGGGTCCTCAGTCCGGCAGGCATGGAGCCAGGCCCCTCAGGCGTGCCCCTACCCAGCAGGCACAGAAATGTTTGCATAAGGCCCAGCTCAGGCAGGAGCCCCAGGGGCCTTATTCCGAGCCCAGCGTGTACACATGTGCCCGTGTGTATGCGGGCCCCTGGGAGGGGCAGGAGGAGAGGTAGCATCACACGCACACACACACATACACAGATGGGCTGGGCCCAACCTGGGCTCCAGGCACTGTCCACCCTGGGCCCGGGGGCCAGGCATAGTGTGAGCAGGTGGCTGGGCCAGGCTGGCCAGGGAGGGATGGGAGTTGGAGCAGGGTCTGAAGGGCCAGCATTAAGGGACAACTTCGGCCGGGAGGGGGCCTGTCCAAGCAGCTCTCCCTGGTGCGGGGGTAGGGCCCCTGTCCGGCTTCTGTCCCTGGCAGGTGCCAAAGCTGGTGAGAGTGTAGGCGTTATGGGCCTGGCTGGTCTCAGCACTCGGCCTCTGACACCGTGAAGAGGCCAGCGTCTGGCTGGCCCAGTCCGGCCACTGCCGCTGCCAGCTGGCTGAGGTTGCCGTTGGGGAAGTGCCGTGCCTCCCACAGGTTGAGGATCATGGCTGTGGGGCTGGGCTTGGAGGCAAAGAAGCTGAGATGGCTGCAAAGAGGAGGAGAGCCCATCAGTGGCCTGACCTCACCCCGGGCTGCCACCTCACACGGCAGCCTACCAAGGACAGGACCACCCCTCAGCCCCAGTCACTGGTGGAAGTTGCAGGGCCCTGCAGGCCGCCCGCCTGCCCCGCCTGCCCCACCTGGACTGCTGGGGGCCTCCACAACCCCTCCCTGCCTGGGTCCCACCCACCTGTCCAGGTGGAGTTTCTGGGCTAGAGTCCGCCAGTCGGCACCCCGACTGCAGGGCGGGTCCAAGCTGGTAATGATCTTCTGCCGAATGAGGAAGGGAATCTTGAAGGCACTGGGGCCCACCAGGGCTGGGACCCCCCCTTCACTCTCCAGAGCCAGAAGCTCAGCAAACCTCGTGTCCTGGGGATGGGAAGGAGGAGGACATGGTGTTAGAATGCTTCTCACTGCCACCTCCGCTGGGGCAGCTCCCAGACATCCCAGAACATGGAGGTGGCGTGGGCACTGGGGCTTCCTGAGCACCCCTCACTCGGTGCCAAGCCCTATTCTCTGGACTTCAGAGGGACCCCGGGATCAAAGGTGCACAACCTGCCCAAAGTCTCAGCCAGTGAGCAGAGGCACTCTCCGGCCCCCTTCCCCTACCTTGAGTCCTCGGTCAGCCCTGCCACCACCCAGCACTTACTGCTCCTGCTGCCTTCAGTCTTCCCTCCTCAGCTCCTGCTGCTGGAAATGTCCTTCCCCACCCTGCTGCTTGTCAACTCCTGCTTAACCTTCAAGGCCCGGTACCAAGCCCTCCCGGAGGAAACCCCTGCAGCACCCCCAGCCCTGCTCCCACACCCTGCTTGACACCACTCTTCAAGTTTCATTTGCCTGTGAACCTCTCACCCCAGGACACTTGGAAAGCGCCAAGTGGTTTTTAGAAGGAGGTGGGCCTGGGGGCAGTGAGGGGGACTGGTGGCAGGGCAGACGTGGGAGGTGTTTCTGGGGTACGGTGGTGGGAGCACATTGTCCTTTCTGCCCACCTTGGTGATGTTGAAGTTGATGTTGAAGCTCTGTCCATCACCCTCGACCTGCCACACCCACACCTTGCAGGCCAGGTCACTGGTGCTGGGGCTAACACGCTCCAAAGTGAAGGTGCAGTGCAGGTGCTGCTGCGAGCCGTTCCAGATGTGATAAAAGGGGATCTCCTGGGGGAAGGCAGACAGCAGGCGTCAGGTGTGCCCTGTGGCAGCCTCTGAGTGCTGACAGTGGGCTCCTCCTCACCTGGTAGCTGACAAGGAGCTTGCTCTTCCACAGGGAGCTGGGGACGTCGTGGATGGACAGGCGCAGGTTGTGGTAACTGTCCTTGAAGTGCAGGATGCGAGGCTCCTGGATCAGCTGTCCACCCAGTTGCTTCTCCAGCTGCACCACCTCCTGCAGTGTCCAGGCCGTCAGCAGGGCCTGGGGGCTGGGAGAGCCCCTCTCCACTGCCCCTGAAGCAAGGGACTCCATGCTGAGAGCCCTGGGCAGTCAGCCCACAGGGCCGCAGCCGGGGGAGGGCCCTACCTTGAGTGCATCGTGGGTGTCGTGCAGGCAGTAGACGCGGATATTGTACTCGAGGGAGGTGCAGGCCACGGGGGCAAACAGAAGCAGCTTGAGGCGCTTGGCAGCAGCCACACTGAGGGCCTCTCCCACCAAGGCGAAGCGGCCCAGCTGCTCGGTGAAGACGTAGCAGGCGCTGGCCTCCAGCTGGCAGTAGTAGAGGTGGGAGGGTGCCTCCTCGCCCAGGTGCAGCACGTCCTGCGGGTGGGCCCAATGGTCAGTTCTACCCAATCTGGGAGCCCTTAGGCCAGTCTCAGCTCTGAGAAGTAGCCAGAGACTAGGGAGGGCTCTGGAGGTGGCTCAGGGCCAACTGGCTGCTGAGGGCCTCGCCTGAGCCAGCAGGAGGCTACGAGGCCAGCGCTGGGGGTGGGCAGGCTGGGGCTGATCTCTGCTCACCTCCCAGCTGCCCTCACACGACTGCTTCTTGAGGCGCAGGCTCCAGCTGTCGGGGCTGGGCTCCCCACAGTGGTCCATGGAGAGGATGACGGGCCTGGTGAGCAGGACTCCGGGGGGCCCACAGCTAACGATGGGACTCAGCAGGGTCTGACAGCCAGCTAGGGGCAACCTCAAGTGGGGAAATATGGGTGGGGAGGGAAAGGAGTCAGTGGCCTGTTTGGGGACCAGGGGCCAGGGCGCCGGGCCTCGGGCAGGGCAGCAGCACCCAGGGCTGAGGACTACAGAGCCTGGTGGGTTAGGGTGTGGCTCTTCTGCCCTCCCTCAGGCCAGGCACAGGGGTGAGTGGGCAGGGGCGTCCCAGAGACAGAAAGCAGCAAGCCGGACCCTCCCCGCCCGGCAGCAGGACTCAGCCCACACCTCACGTCCTCTGGCTTGTGCAGTGTGAGGTAGATCTCGTAGATCTTTCCTCGGGGGATGGCGTCCGGAGGGATGAGGAGGCTGATTCCTGTGACAGACAGGAAGAGGCCAGGTTGACCAGCTGCAAGACATGCACACTCTACCAGTAGTGCCTCCATGAGTCTCCCGTTGAGGACCGGCCTGGGGACAGAGGTGCTGCAAGAACTGCCACGCTGTCCCACCACCCACACTAGCATGAAGATGAGTCAGGGAGATTCCAAGAACAGCTGAGGGAACCTGGGTGGGAGAAGCATGCCTATTTAGCCTGGGCATAGAAAACTCTGGAACAGAAGGTGCCAGGGATGTTGACCTTATCTCCCCTGTCATCCAAAGGGACTGGCTGGGACCAGGGCATATCCCTGCCTCTGCGATAAAGTTCAGATTCCTGGCACTTAAGGCCTTTCACCTCTGCTCTCCTTCCAGCAATTTCTCCAGCCCAGCCTGGAGTGGTTCTGGAACCACTACCCTCCTCCCCTCTCCATCAGCCCTGGCCCCCCTCTGAGGACTGGTCCTTCAACAGCCTCCTGAGCCTTGTCAAGTGCACCTTGCAGGAGCACCATCAGAGGGGTGGTTAAGGATGGAGCGGGGCAGGATACCACCAGAACAGGGCCAGGGAGTCACTCTAGGGGGCTGGAGGAGTGGCCCTGCCACAGAATAAGGAGTCCTACATCAAGAGGGGACGCCCTGCTCAGGACAGGGGGAAAGGGAAACATTCTAGAACTTTATTCCACAAAATCCAAAAGCAAATGGATATTCTCAAGAGTGGGCAGCTCTGAGGTGGCTGGACAGTCACTTGATGCATAGTGACATTTCTGTCAATGAAAGACAGCATTTACAATGTTGGTCCCATAAGCTGATATTGCTTAGTGACATCATTGCTACCTAGGTTTTCATAAGCGCACACTATGATGTTCACACTGAGGAAATCACTTAAAGACACATTTCTCAGAATATGCCCTGTTATTAAGTGACGCATGACTGTATTTCAGAGAAAACTGAAGCCAGAAAAAGGAAGCCATTGATCCCATATACAGTCATTGCCTCTCTTCACTAGCCTGCACTGTCCCCTAGTACCTAATGTTGCTGGAGTTGGTGACAATCCCAGACATCCCGGTATGAATGCTCCCTGTGACGGAGGCACAAACACTTGCACACGCACTCAACAAATGCTAATGCTGAACACTAAAGGCAGGCGCTCGGGAAGGTGAGGGAAAGCAACAGAGGTCCTCTCACGAAAGCCCTCAGCCCAGCCAGGAGAAGGACAAGCAGACTGCAGGAAGGGTGAAGGGAGCAGTGGCACCTACATACTCTGCCAGGGGCGAAGGGCTGAGGGCCACGGAGGACCCCCGTTTGCTCGCCTCTTTGTTGGAGCCAACAGGTGCCATCTCACCTCCTCACCCTAACACCACTGAGGGGTTCATCATCATCCTCTGTCCAGAGG